GGCACGACTAAATAGGGGAAAAGCTAGCTAGGCGAGGAGGTAGGGCGAAGATGGCTCGGTGATGGTTGCGATTGGAGCGGAGGCCGACTCGGGAGTGGTTCGGTGCGACGAAATAGGAAGGACAGGTTCGTCGCGTGACCCTCGGGATGGCCTTGCTAACGAGTGCCTCAGTAAGGATTTGTAAATCCTTACACTCTCCCGCCTCCTAAATAAGGCAGCCCTGTACTGAAATGAGTACCGCCGTAGCGAGTATGCCGTTGATCTTCAGCCCAAGTAAATCCGACGGCTGAAATTGCCTTCAACCAATTTGAAGAAAGGTTGGAATTGAGGCCGTTGATGAAGTCCAATTTCGATCTGACGGACGCGGTTGAACTGGCCCAAATGAAGTAGAAGTTGGAGTGTGGGCCGTAGATCGAGCAGATGTAAATCTGACGGTCAAAGACTGACGCGAAAAGAGAGGGAACCTGCTGACGCGAATTCAAACGCGATTGAGCAGGGACCGTAGATCGTGTCGGTGTGATCGCGATCGTCCGTCGTGCTGACGCAACCTGACAAAGTCAGAAATGTGCCGAGAAAACGCCAAGGAAAGAACAATGCAAAGCACTTTCTCCCCCCCTCCAAGAAAACAGACCAAAATGTTTCCCTCAGCTGCGCCGAGATGAAAATCAACAAAAAAAAACAGGTGTTAAGTCCCACGAAGAAGTGCGTAGAGCGTAGAAGGCCAGGTGAAGTTGAGTCGGTGTGGAAACTCGATGCCGAAACCAGGTGTTAAGTGCCCCAAAATTCACAAGGGCGACCCAGTATAAGTAGACCGGAAACCGCGGCGGAAAATATTCGTTGCTCGAACTGAACTTGTTTTGTCTTCACATCGCCAGAATCAGGCTATATCTTCAGCAGTTGCAGCTGGCAGCACCTGACGTGGTTGAATTAGTTGCAGTTGTCGTGGGCGGAGGCGAGTTGAGCGTATTGTCGCTTGTAGAGCTGGAACCCGTCCCGAAATCTTCTGGCCGTAAAATCGGGGTGTGGCGAAAACGTCGTCGATGAAGGCGATCGAAAGCGAATTCGAATACGAGAGTCGGCGAAGGTCGTCGCAGTTGTAACCAAAATCAAATAGCACTCCGAAATTGTTGTCGAACGCGATCCAGTGTCAGATGAAGTCAGCACCTTCAGCGGCTTTGTCCAGACTCGCCGAGAAATTTGTTGTAATGAGCCGAGGGCAGAGATGAAAAATTGCAGCTGTCCCAGCTGCTGCTGCGCTGTTGTCGCTGCCTCCTTTACTCTCTCCACCTCATCCTGTGCGACGTACCACGGACACACAATCAGACAGAGCACAGACGGAGAGCATCCTAGGCAATGACGAGGGAGCATGAACAGTGTTACAACCCTACACGTTCCACCGCCACAACCAGCATGTCAAGCATCACCACATAAGCCACTAATGCTGTTGGCAACGCGGGCAGGCCAGATCCATGCATACCATACCACCGACAATGTCAAGCCTTCATTCTGTCTCAAGCCTCCATCCTTTACTGTGGCTAATCTGTTCCATGCCCCACTACGTCCCTGAGCATCGAATACTCTTCCGCCCGTGAGCCCACGCGTTCTCCCTTCCCCAGCCTACCTCAAGGTCCTTTCACACCAGAGAGAGCAAGGCTCAGCTACCCAACGCTGAGTCCCTCCAGCCATCAAACACCCGTCCCGCTCCCTCTTGCCCTGTTCTTCGTAACCCTCATCCCCTTACTCCATTCTTCCCTTCACCCTGAGGCTCACCTTCATCTCTCCCTCTGCCTTGCGCAGGGCCTCTCCTTCCGCCTGCGCCTCTTCCAGCTGCACGCGCATACTGCTCAGCTCCCCCTGCGCAGTGGATAACTCCTCCTTGGCCGCAGATAGCTCCCCCTGCACGGTGGAAAGCTCCTCCTGCAGCGCACTGAGCTTCTCTTGCGCCGCATTGACCTCCGCCTGCGCCTCACTCAGCCGTCCCCGCAGCGCTGCAGCTTCCGCCTCTGCTTCCGCTCCTGAGCGCTGAGCAACAGGAGGGGAGGGATATCAAAATTTCGGAAGGCAGTGAACGAGATGTACGCTCACTACAAGAAACATGAAAGAGATGTATCTTCCCGCATCACTGGGCAAGCACCTACCGACCTTCACAGAGCAAATTGCTGCCGCCTTCTTCAGTTCTTAAAAAATGTCGTAAGTCGTTCGTACCCCTTGAAAACTCCGTGTAGTTCCCGCGGTGTTGCCCCACGAAAATGTCGCGCGCGTTTAACCAAACGCCGGATTTCCTCCGAAATTGTCGGCGCTCCTCGCCGTAAAACCGGTAAGTCCCCACGTAAAACTCCGAAATTGTTGCTCGAATCAAACCCCGTAAATCCGCAGTTGCAGGTACAGTTCGCCTCCGAAAATCTCGGACGTTCTATAGCCGCCCACTCGGTCACCATCAGTTTCCGTCGGTTTACCCGACCCCAGCATGTGGGTTCAATCGAGAACCGGGGACTGCCCTGGGTTATTCCGAGACCGAATTTCACGGAACCTAGTGGCATCAACGCCGTTGACTCCGTAGTCGAAAACTGCTCCCGCTGATGCTGTTTAACCAAAAATCCACGTTTCCCCCACCAGCGCTTTGCAGATGTTTCACCGCATCGCTCGTCGCCGGTCGATAAGTTCCCGAAGCTACGACTGCTCCCACGCTCCCTTTTCTCTGAAGAATTTCCCGAGGTGTGCGTTTAAACACCGGGGGTCCTAGGCATCCTTGCCGCTGTGTTTCTTGCCAGGCAACTTCGAAAAGTGCCCTTCAGGCGAAGTCCCCCAACGACTCAACCGCACTCCAAGAAGCGAAGAAATACCCGCAGCTTCATAATTTTTTGGTCGTTTCACCCCCCGACAATTTCGCTTCCCGCCGTTCACCCAGCGTCCGCTTTTGTCGGATGGGGTATAATCGGTGTTGCCCGCGCGAACCCGGCCACGGTGGAGGGGCAAAGTCTATCGGAGTCGGGATAGCCTTAGTAAAAAGGGATCCATGCCCAACCGCTTTGCAGCCCACCGTGCCCGTCACGCCACTAAACTCCACAGCTCCCTGTCCCAGCTTCGCCGCTGCGCCGTCACCTCGTGTAGACGCCCGGGTCAAGGAGAAACCAGCGAACTGCACCAGTGTTGTCCTTGCGGCGCCCCGATTTTTTCGCGTGCTGTTTCACCCAGCCCGCTTTTGTCGGAGTAGAACAGTGCCGCAACTCCCCATTTTTTGTTTTTTTTTTTTTCTGTACAGCTGTTGAACGAGCACCAACCCAGGTACCTTTAACCAGTGCAGGGTAGGCCCGTGTTCACCCCCATTATTCGGCCAAGTAGGTTGACTGCATGAGTCGGAACTAAAACTTGGTGGGGATGGTGAGGTTCGGGCGACGAAAGGTCACAGATCGTTCATACTGGCTTTTAACCTGCCCTTCACGCCGTTCTTCAACCCCCGCTTAGCCGTCAGGCAGTTTCTTCCCGTGTGTCCCGGCGGCCTGTACCGACTCATCCGTAAATGTCGGGGCAGTACGTTGAACGCCGTTTAACCGTGGGCTGCTGAGGCTGTCCCCGAAAATGACTTCCTTACAGGGAATCCACTCTCGAAATTGTCGGCCAGCTGTCAACAGTACCAGGCCCGCAGCGTCATGCGAGAATTCTTCGAGGTGTATGGGCTCGAATTGCCCTCGCCGCCTGCGTCCCACTCCTCTTGAGTGCGATTTAGCCACTCCGTTTTTTGTAGCAACCCGTAAGTGTCGGCGGGTCTGAAGTTCCCGTCTGTCCACGTGCACTCCTGCCGAAATACTCGATGACGCACCCGCCATGCAGTAAAAGCCGCTGCACTTCAGGTCGGGCGAGACGACAGTTGACCCCGCATAACTCGGGCAATTCGCGTGTCGTCTCTCCTCATCCACCGACATTTTCGGACGCAAACTCCATTTGCGCTTGGCGAGTTCCCCAGCCGACTTTTTCTTCAACAGAAGCTCCGAAAATGTCGCGTTGTCGCCAGCTGCCGAGGATCTCCCGAAAATCTCGCGCACATGTTGACGTGTGCCACCGACGTCAGCTTGTCGCGCAAGGACGATCCCGAAATCGTCGCGCAGCCGTTGACTCAGGTCCTCCAGCGTCAACAGCCACACACAGTGACGACGTCGATGCTGTTCATGCAGATGCCGACGCAGGTCCGCTGACGCCAGCTGCCACACGAATCAAGCTCCGAAATCGTCGGAAATCGCAGCGGAAATTACTCACTCTAATGTCGCGACAGCTTCAGCTGTCCGTTGCCCGGGGGGAGGGAGGCCACGGTTGATCGCGACCGTTCGAGGCAAGGATCCGGCGGTGCCAAGGAGTGCCCGTAAAAATATGGCCGCAAGGAGCAACTAACTAGTTCTCCTGGCCGGCTAGCACGCAACTCCTGGACCCCAGGACATCCTTCCTCGTCCCCCCCCCGAGGAATATTACACTCTAAAAAGCGGGGTGAGCTAGGTAAGTACCTCTGATACCAGGTGTTATGAATGAACTTGCAGAGTGCGCAGTAAAACGAATAACGAGAATGGTTGACTACAGAATGACGATACAATGAGAATGGCACGACTAAATAGGGGAAAAGCTAGCTAGGCGAGGAGGTAGGGCGAAGATGGCTCGGTGATGGTTGCGATTGGAGCGGAGGCCGACTCGGGAGTGGTTCGGTGCGACGAAATAGGAAGGACAGGTTTGTCGCGTGACCCTCGGGATGGCCTCGCTAACGAGTGCCTCAGTAAGGATTTGTAAATCCTTACAGTTACCGCTAAGATAAATTGCCCTTTTTTTATTCGTACACCACAAAACAACACACCAGTCAGTGCTTGCCACTAGAATCTGCTGTCTTGCTTTCCAACCGGAGCAATCTTGTAGAACACACAGCGAGAATGGAGCTTGTGGGTCGACGCAAGCCGTCAAAAGACTCCGATCCAAGTCCATCGGCCAGAAACAGCAGCGCGCGGGAATCGTCAGCGTCAATGAACAGCCTGCCTGACGAAATCCTATCCAGAATTCTCTTCCTCGCAGCTACCCCCCACAACGGCTCTGAAGTCGACGCTGCCGCGAGTGACGCGGAGCCCAGCGTGGATTCCGATGTCAGCCCGTGCCATGGCATGGGGATGGTGTCGAAGCGATGGGCCTCGCTGCTGCCCGTCGTGCGCATCACCGCTGCTGCCGACATGGCATCTCGTCCGGAGGACTCTGACGATCAAGACGACTCGCTGCTTCCCGCCTCTACGCTCTCCGCGCCCGCGCTCTTCCGCGCCTTGTTCCGCGCGCCAAGCGTGACTTCCCTCACGCTGGGCGACGGCGCTCTCGATTTCTACGACCACCACTTCCTTACCTCGCTGCTCGCCGCTTGTCCCAACCTCACCTGCGTGAGCCTCGGCGAGCCTTGTTTCAAAGCCGCACCCCCGCCCTTCACGATCGGCCTCGCACCGCTCGACTCGTTCTTCCGCGCCGTAGCGCCGCAGTTACAGGAGCTCGCGCTGCTGCTTCCTGTCGACATCATGAAACTTCCTGATTCCATCTCGTCGCTGTCGTCGCTGCGCGTGCTTCGCCTGCGCGCGAACGAGTTGCAACGGCTCCCGGAGGGACTGTGCCATCTGCCCGCTCTTCAGGAGCTGCGTCTCAGCTGTCGGATGCTGGAGCTGCCCGAGAACCTGGGGCGGCTGAAAGCTTTGAGGCACCTCGCTATCACGAGGGGGGGCAGGAACTTGTTCCCCCTCCCCGAAACTCTAAGCGACCTCGCGTCACTCACCTCGCTCCGTATTGACGGCTGGTGGAACGTGCAACTCCCGAGTGGCATTGGCGCGCTGCAGCAGCTGCGGCGCCTAGAGCTGCGACACTTGGACGGCGAGTTACCAGACGCGTGCAACGCGTGGGCGAATCTGGAAGAGGTTTCGCTGGACAGGTGCAGCATGCGCTCTCTCCCGCCCACGTGGCTGCAGACCCTCACTCGCCTCACCCTCCGCTCCTGCGACCACCTCGAGTCTCTCCCCATCCCCCACGTCGCCTGCGATTCACCGCTACGGCACTTGACGCTCGAGGGTGTTGGCTCCACTGTGCCGTTGCACCCACTCAGCCGACTGACCTCCCTCCAAAGGCTCAAGGTCTCGGGTTCAAGGTCCCGTGGCAATGTGAATGCGGACTTCCCCGTGGGCTTGTTCTCCTTGCCGTCGCTGTCTCACGTGAGTGTGGATGGGGTGAAGTGGGTGGAACAAGGCGACCGGTGCGAAGGATCACTGCTGGCCTATCTACCTCTAACCCTCGCTTCTGAAACCGCCGCTGCTGCTGCTGCCTCGTCCGCCGCCTCTGCTGCAGCTGCCGCCCCTCCTGCTGCCGCTGCTCTTGCTGCTGCTGCCGCTGCAGCGGGTGCTGCTTTTGCCACTGCTGCTGCTGCTGCTGCCGCCGCCGCCGCCGCTGCCACTGTCGCTGAAGCCGGAAAGCACTCGCCTCTGGGCCCCTCGTTGCAGCACCTGGAGTTGCGCTTAGGCGATAATAGCTCGCAAGGCAGCTACCTTTCCGCCCGCCTCTGGTCCCTGCGCTCGCTCACACACCTCGCCATCTTCAATCTCAAGCCCTGCAGTCTCGTGCTTTCCGCCTTTGGCCTCCTCACCAATCTCAGCTCCCTCTCCCTCTCCGGCTGCTTTCTCCGCCTACCAGACTCTGTCTCTCTCCTCGCACCATCGCTCCAGTACTTATCGCTAGAGTACAGTTTTTGCTCCAACGCCAGCAGCAGCAGCAGCAGCAGCAGCAGCTTGGAAGACAAGCGCCTCTTTCTGCCCTCGTTCATCTCCCACCTCACCTCCCTCACCGAGCTCCACCTCACAGATGTCTTCCTTCCCTCTCCCCCTCCTCGCCTCACCCGCCTGCTCTCACTCCGCAAGTTACGCATCAGCAGCGCCCACATTCCTCACGCTGAGACCTTCATGCCGGAGAACATCGGCGAGCTGGCAGCGCTGGAGTGGCTCGAGCTGGAAGGGCGTGTGTGGGATGAGGAATTTCCGCCACTTATGGACAGGGTACTCGGGATGATCCGTCGAGAAGAGCCGCAGCATTTACCACAAGAGTTTGGCTCTTGTGGGGCACCAACGAATGTGACTACTGAGGGTTCGTCTCCCTCTCTGCCAGACACCCTCAGCAGCCTGTCCTCGCTGCAAGAAGCATCTCTGAGCACTCCAGTCTTTGCCAGCCTGCCTCCCTCCTCCTGCCTCCTCTCTCGCCTCCACACACTCGCCATCACCGGCAGTGACTGCCTTGTCACCCTGCCCGCTGATTTCGGCTCCCTAGGCGCCCTCCAACGCCTCTCCATCCACTCCTGCTCTCACTTGCAGAGCCTCCCCGAATCGTTCTCCTCGCTCATCTCCCTCGTCCGTCTCACCATAACACTGTGCCCTAACCTTTCCAACCTCCCTGATGGCTTCGGCTCCCTGCCCCGACTGGCATGGCTGACAATCAACGACTGTGAATCCTTCACTCACCTGCCTGCCTCCTTCCCCTCCCTGCTGTCCCTCCGTGTGGCCGACTTCGGCCGCTGCCGGCGCCTGCACTCACTGCCTTCTCAGATGGGCCTGCTGCGGGAGTGGTTCGGTGCGACGAAATAGGAAGGACAGGTTCGTCGCGTGACCCTCGGGATGGCCTCGCTAACGAGTGCCTCAGTAAGGATTTGTAAATCCTTACAGTTACCGCTAAGATAAATTGCCCTTTTTTTATTCGTACACCACAAAACAACACACCAGTCAGTGCTTGCCACTAGAATCTGCTGTCTTGCTTTCCAACCGGAGCAATCTTGTAGAACACACAGCGAGAATGGAGCTTGTGGGTCGACGCAAGCCGTCAAAAGACTCCGATCCAAGTCCATCGGCCAGAAACAGCAGCGCGCGGGAATCGTCAGCGTCAATGAACAGTCTGCCTGACGAAATCCTATCCAGAATTCTCTTCCTCGCAGCTACCCCCCACAACGGCTCTGAAGTCTACGCTGCCGCGAGTGACGCGGAGCCCAGCGTGGATTCCGATGTCAGCCCGTGCCATGGCATGGGGATGGTGTCGAAGCGATGGGCCTCGCTGCTGCCCGTCGTGCGCATCACCGCTGCTGCCGACATGGCATCTCGTCCGGAGGACTCTGACGATCAAGACGACTCGCTGCTTCCCGCCTCTACGCTCTCCGCGCCCGCGCTCTTCCGCGCCTTGTTCCGCGCGCCAAGCGTGACTTCCCTCACGCTGGGCGACGGCGCTCTCGATTTCTACGACCACCACTTCCTTACCTCGCTGCTCGCCGCTTGTCCCAACCTCACCTGCGTGAGCCTCGGCGAGCCTTGTTTCAAAGCCGCACCCCCGCCCTTCACGATCGGCCTCGCACCGCTCGACTCGTTCTTCCGCGCCGTAGCGCCGCAGTTACAGGAGCTCGCGCTGCTGCTTCCTGTCGACATCATGAAACTTCCTGATTCCATCTCGTCGCTGTCGTCGCTGCGCGTGCTTCGCCTGCGCGCGAACGAGTTGCAACGGCTCCCGGAGGGACTGTGCCATCTGCCCGCTCTTCAGGAGCTGCGTCTCAGCTGTCGGATGCTGGAGCTGCCCGAGAACCTGGGGCGGCTGAAAGCTTTGAGGCACCTCGCTATCACGAGGGGGGGCAGGAACTTGTTCCCCCTCCCCGAAACTCTAAGCGACCTCGCGTCACTCACCTCGCTCCGTATTGACGGCTGGTGGAACGTGCAACTCCCGAGTGGCATTGGCGCGCTGCAGCAGCTGCGGCGCCTAGAGCTGCGACACTTGGACGGCGAGTTACCAGACGCGTGCAACGCGTGGGCGAATCTGGAAGAGGTTTCGCTGGACAGGTGCAGCATGCGCTCTCTCCCGCCCACGTGGCTGCAGACCCTCACTCGCCTCACCCTCCGCTCCTGCGACCACCTCGAGTCTCTCCCCATCCCCCACGTCGCCTGCGATTCACCGCTACGGCACTTGACGCTCGAGGGTGTTGGCTCCACTGTGCCGTTGCACCCACTCAGCCGACTGACCTCCCTCCAAAGGCTCAAGGTCTCGGGTTCAAGGTCCCGTGGCAATGTGAATGCGGACTTCCCCGTGGGCTTGTTCTCCTTGCCGTCGCTGTCTCACGTGAGTGTGGACGGGGTGAAGTGGGTGGAACAAGGCGACCGGTGCGAAGGATCACTGCTGGCCTATCTACCTCTAACCCTCGCTTCTGAAACCGCCGCTGCTGCTGCTGCCTCGTCCGCCGCCTCTGCTGCAGCTGCCGCCCCTCCTGCTGCCGCTGCTCTTGCTGCTGCTGCCGCTGCAGCGGGTGCTGCTTTTGCCACTGCTGCTGCTGCTGCTGCCGCCGCCGCCGCCGCTGCCACTGTCGCTGAAGCCGGAAAGCACTCGCCTCTGGGCCCCTCGTTGCAGCACCTGGAGTTGCGCTTAGGCGATAATAGCTCGCAAGGCAGCTACCTTTCCGCCCGCCTCTGGTCCCTGCGCTCGCTCACACACCTCGCCATCTTCAATCTCAAGCCCTGCAGTCTCGTGCTTTCCGCCTTTGGCCTCCTCACCAATCTCAGCTCCCTCTCCCTCTCCGGCTGCTTTCTCCGCCTACCAGACTCTGTCTCTCTCCTCGCACCATCGCTCCAGTACTTATCGCTAGAGTACAGTTTTTGCTCCAACGCCAGCAGCAGCAGCAGCAGCAGCAGCAGCTTGGAAGACAAGCGCCTCTTTCTGCCCTCGTTCATCTCCCACCTCACCTCCCTCACCGAGCTCCACCTCACAGATGTCTTCCTTCCCTCTCCCCCTCCTCGCCTCACCCGCCTGCTCTCACTCCGCAAGTTACGCATCAGCAGCGCCCACATTCCTCACGCTGAGACCTTCATGACGGAGAACATCGGCGAGCTGGCAGCGCTGGAGTGGCTCGAGCTGGAAGGGCGTGTGTGGGATGAGGAATTTCCGCCACTTATGGACAGGGTACTCGGGATGATCCGTCGAGAAGAGCCGCAGCATTTACCACAAGAGTTTGGCTCTTGTGGGGCACCAACGAATGTGACTACTGAGGGTTCGTCTCCCTCTCTGCCAGACACCCTCAGCAGCCTGTCCTCGCTGCAAGAAGCATCTCTGAGCACTCCAGTCTTTGCCAGCCTGCCTCCCTCCTGCTGCCTCCTCTCTCGCCTCCACACACTCGCCATCACCGGCAGTGACTGCCTTGTCACCCTGCCCGCTGATTTCGGCTCCCTAGGCGCCCTCCAACGCCTCTCCATCCACTCCTGCTCTCACTTGCAGAGCCTCCCCGACTCGTTCTCCTCGCTCATCTCCCTCGTCCGTCTCACCATCACACTGTGCCCTAACCTTTCCAACCTCCCTGATGGCTTCGGCTCCCTGCCCCGACTGGCATGGCTGACAATCAACGACTGTGAATCCTTCACTCACCTGCCTGCCTCCTTCCCCTCCCTGCTGTCCCTCCGTGTGGCCGACTTCGGCCGCTGCCGGCGCCTGCACTCACTGCCTTCTCAGATGGGCCTGCTGCGGGAGTGGTTCGGTGCGACGAAATAGGAAGGACAGGTTCGTCGCGTGACCCTCGGGATGGCCTCGCTAACGAGTGCCTCAGTAAGGATTTGTAAATCCTTACAGTTACCGCTAAGATAAATTGCCCTTTTTTTATTCGTACACCACAAAACAACACACCAGTCAGTGCTTGCCACTAGAATCTGCTGTCTTGCTTTCCAACCGGAGCAATCTTGTAGAACACACAGCGAGAATGGAGCTTGTGGGTCGACGCAAGCCGTCAAAAGACTCCGATCCAAGTCCATCGGCCAGAAACAGCAGCGCGCGGGAATCGTCAGCGTCAATGAACAGTCTGCCTGACGAAATCCTATCCAGAATTCTCTTCCTCGCAGCTACCCCCCACAACGGCTCTGAAGTCTACGCTGCCGCGAGTGACGCGGAGCCCAGCGTGGATTCCGATGTCAGCCCGTGCCATGGCATGGGGATGGTGTCGAAGCGATGGGCCTCGCTGCTGCCCGTCGTGCGCATCACCGCTGCTGCCGACATGGCATCTCGTCCGGAGGACTCTGACGATCAAGACGACTCGCTGCTTCCCGCCTCTACGCTCTCCGCGCCCGCGCTCTTCCGCGCCTTGTTCCGCGCGCCAAGCGTGACTTCCCTCACGCTGGGCGACGGCGCTCTCGATTTCTACGACCACCACTTCCTTACCTCGCTGCTCGCCGCTTGTCCCAACCTCACCTGCGTGAGCCTCGGCGAGCCTTGTTTCAAAGCCGCACCCCCGCCCTTCACGATCGGCCTCGCACCGCTCGACTCGTTCTTCCGCGCCGTAGCGCCGCAGTTACAGGAGCTCGCGCTGCTGCTTCCTGTCGACATCATGAAACTTCCTGATTCCATCTCGTCGCTGTCGTCGCTGCGCGTGCTTCGCCTGCGCGCGAACGAGTTGCAATGGCTCCCGGAGGGACTGTGCCATCTGCCCGCTCTTCAGGAGCTGCGTCTCAGCTGTCGGATGCTGGAGCTGCCCGAGAACCTGGGGCGGCTGAAAGCTTTGAGGCACCTCGCTATCACGAGGGGGGGCAGGAACTTGTTCCCCCTCCCCGAAACTCTAAGCGACCTCGCGTCACTCACCTCGCTCCGTATTGACGGCTGGTGGAACGTGCAACTCCCGAGTGGCATTGGCGCGCTGCAGCAGCTGCGGCGCCTAGAGCTGCGACACTTGGACGGCGAGTTACCAGACGCGTGCAACGCGTGGGCGAATCTGGAAGAGGTTTCGCTGGACAGGTGCAGCATGCGCTCTCTCCCGCCCACGTGGCTGCAGACCCTCACTCGCCTCACCCTCCGCTCCTGCGACCACCTCGAGTCTCTCCCCATCCCCCACGTCGCCTGCGATTCACCGCTACGGCACTTGACGCTCGAGGGTGTTGGCTCCACTGTGCCGTTGCACCCACTCAGCCGACTGACCTCCCTCCAAAGGCTCAAGGTCTCGGGTTCAAGGTCCCGTGGCAATGTGAATGCGGACTTCCCCGTGGGCTTGTTCTCCTTGCCGTCGCTGTCTCACGTGAGTGTGGACGGGGTGAAGTGGGTGGAACAAGGCGACCGGTGCGAAGGATCACTGCTGGCCTATCTACCTCTAACCCTCGCTTCTGAAACCGCCGCTGCTGCTGCTGCCTCGTCCGCCGCCTCTGCTGCAGCTGCCGCCCCTCCTGCTGCCGCTGCTCTTGCTGCTGCTGCCGCTGCAGCGGGTGCTGCTTTTGCCACTGCTGCTGCTGCTGCTGCCGCCGCCGCCGCCGCTGCCACTGTCGCTGAAGCCGGAAAGCACTCGCCTCTGGGCCCCTCGTTGCAGCACCTGGAGTTGCGCTTAGGCGATAATAGCTCGCAAGGCAGCTACCTTTCCGCCTGCCTCTGGTCCCTGCGCTCGCTCACACACCTCGCCATCTTCAATCTCAAGCCCTGCAGTCTCGTGCTTTCCGCCTTTGGCCTCCTCACCAATCTCAGCTCCCTCTCCCTCTCCGGCTGCTTTCTCCGCCTACCAGACTCTGTCTCTCTCCTCGCACCATCGCTCCAGTACTTATCGCTAGAGTACAGTTTTTGCTCCAACGCCAGCAGCAGCAGCAGCAGCAGCAGCTTGGAAGACAAGCGCCTCTTTCTGCCCTCGTTCATCTCCCACCTCACCTCCCTCACCGAGCTCCACCTCACAGATGTCTTCCTTCCCTCTCCCCCTCCTCGCCTCACCCGCCTGCTCTCACTCCGCAAGTTACGCATCAGCAGCGCCCACATTCCTCACGCTGAGACCTTCATGCCGGAGAACATCGGCGAGCTGGCAGCGCTGGAGTGGCTCGAGCTGGAAGGGCGTGTGTGGGATGAGGAATTTCCGCCACTTATGGACAGGGTACTCGGGATGATCCGTCGAGAAGAGCCGCAGCATTTACCACAAGAGTTTGGCTCTTGTGGGGCACCAACGAATGTGACTACTGAGGGTTCGTCTCCCTCTCTGCCAGACACCCTCAGCAGCCTGTCCTCGCTGCAAGAAGCATCTCTGAGCACTCCAGTCTTTGCCAGCCTGCCTCCCTCCTGCTGCCTCCTCTCTCGCCTCCACACACTCGCCATCACCGGCAGTGACTGCCTTGTCACCCTGCCCGCTGATTTCGGCTCCCTAGGCGCCCTCCAACGCCTCTCCATCCACTCCTGCTCTCACTTGCAGAGCCTCCCCGACTCGTTCTCCTCGCTCATCTCCCTCGTCCGTCTCACCATCACACTGTGCCCTAACCTTTCCAACCTCCCTGATGGCTTCGGCTCCCTGCCCCGACTGGCATGGCTGACAATCAACGACTGTGAATCCTTCACTCACCTGCCTGCCTCCTTCCCCTCCCTGCTGTCCCTCCGTGTGGCCGACTTCGGCCGCTGCCGGCGCCTGCACTCACTGCCTTCTCAGATGGGCCTGCTGCGGGAGTGGTTCGGTGCGACGAAATAGGAAGGACAGGTTCGTCGCGTGACCCTCGGGATGGCCTCGCTAACGAGTGCCTCAGTAAGGATTTGTAAATCCTTACAGTTACCGCTAAGATAAATTGCCCTTTTTTTATTCGTACACCACAAAACAACACACCAGTCAGTGCTTGCCACTAGAATCTGGCAGCGTGGCAGCACGTTGGCAGCTTCATGAAAGGTGGTCGCCTATGCATGGTGGCAGTACCTGTCCTTTCCTGTTAGAGGAATCTCCTTGCAGAGGAAAGCTGAGACCCTGCGTAAGGGGTCTACCCGTTGGCGTGCTCATTCTTGTTGTGCCTTTCGAGAAAACTCCTCTCCCCTGTGCTCGGCAGACTCCTCGTCCCTCTCCTCGCTCTGCGCCTTAGGCATGCCTCACGATGCGGAGTAAGTGTCAAATTGTATTTGTTCTCTGTAGGCTGTAGCGGGGCATACCCTAAAGGGTACAACACTTTAGGGTTAGGCAGTACTTGTACTCATGCTTCCTACCTAGTCAATCATTCTTACCGTACCTTCCTACTTCCGACATGGTATTCAGAGCGGGTCCGTCCGTAGGACCACTCCGTTAGGGCCCACCAATAGTTTCGACCTGCCCGATCTGCCCGACCTGCCCGTACTGCCCTGCCCGAACTGTCCGTACTGCCCTGCCCTGCTTGCACTGCCCTGCACGGCCTGCCCTGCCCGTCGCGCTGCCCGCACAGCTGCCTAGCGCGTGACCCGCACGCTGCCCTGCTCGCGGCCTGCTCACGCTGCCTGCTCGCGCGCTGCCTGAGGCCTACGCGCGCCCTGCCTGCACGCTGCCTGCGCTGCCCGCGCACTGCCTGCGCTGCCTGCGCGCTGCTGCTGCTGCCCGCTCGCTGCTTTCCCTGCCCGCGCGCTGCCTGCCTCACTCGCACACTGCCTGCGTGCTGCCTGCACCGCCAGCGCCCTGCCCGCGCACCGCGTGCCCTGCCTGCGCCCTGCCCGCACACCGCTGGCGCTGCCCTCGCGCTGCCCTTAAGGCCCGCCCTGCTCGCGCTCTGCCCGCACAGCCCGCAAGCGCCCTACCCACGCTGCGGCTGCTGCTAATCTGCTGCTGCTGCCAGCGCCGCTCTGCCCCGCCGTGCTCGAGCCGCGCCGCACCGCCCGAGCCGGGCCGCCCTACCGAGCCGCGCCGCCCTACCGAACCGCGCCGCGCTGCTTAGCTGCCTGGCTGATCTGCTTTTGCTGCCGCTCTGCTGCTTCTGCTGCTACTGCTGCTACTGCTGCTACTGCTGCTACTGCTACTGCTGCTGCTGCTGCTGCTGCTACTCACGATGGCTACTCTCAATGTCCCTTGCCTTTGACGCGGAGGGTCGCCCGATTAGGTTTGACTGCTGGCTCGAGGACCTCCAGCTGTACCTGCAGAGCCAGGCTAGGGAGGACGTTTCACTGTTAGAACACGTGTCCGGTACCTGCCTAGCCCCTGAGGATACAGCTGCGCGTGCTCTTCGTACTCAGTGGCTCACCCGCGATGCTGCCGCCCGCCTTTCTGTCCGCAATGCCCTCCCGCCTGAGGACAGCTTAAGACGGCGAAGGAACTGTATGACGCTGTAGTTGCTCGTTACTCCTCCCCCTCGTCTGCTGCCCTAGGCCGTATCATGCTGCCGTACCTTCACCCTGAGCTGTCTGAGTTCCAGACTGTTGCTGACCTCTTCATCCACCTTCGCTCTAGTGACGCTCGCTACCGTGCTGCTCTCAAGCTGGACTTTCTGGCTGCGAACCCACCTCCGATGTACATCACACTCTTCTACCTCGTTACTTGCCTCCCTGACTCCCTCCGCGCCGTTAGGGATCACTTTCTTGCTCTCGACCCCACCGAGATCACCCTTGCCCTGTTGGAGAAGCATCTTCTCGAGAAAGAGAAGAGCTCCGTCGCTGTCGCTCCCTCTCGTGGCACTCCCCGCTCCCCCTTCTTTGAGGGGTGTTCTCCCTCCCTTCTCGTGCCCTCCGTTGCTACTGCTGCTGCTGTTGACTTCCTTCGTACTGAGGAGGTCGGTGCTGCGTCTGCTCCTAGTGGGAGGCGCCGCAACAGTAAGGGAAAGGGGGGTAAGGGTGGTGGGGGGGGCACTGGAGGGGGTGGTGGCGGGGGTGGTGGCGGTGGTGGTGGTGGGGGTGGAGGCGGTGGTGGTGGCGGGAGTGGAGGCAGTGGTGGCGGCAGTGGAGGTGGCTGGGGTGGTGGAGGCGGTGGAGTGGGCGGAGGGGGCTTGGGTGGAGGTCGTGGTGGAGCTGGCAAAGCGGAGGCTCTGGGGCGGCGACTGGTGGTGCAGCTCGTGGCGACGGAGGCACTGGGGGTGGACAGCAGCAGCAGCCACGCACCCCTCAGGGTGGTTCAGCATGGCTCCACTGGGGCCAATGTTTCTTTGCCCGTACGTCCGGCGCACGGGGCTCAGGACTGGTGAGCCCTGTGGGAAGACTGGGCACACTGAGTATCGTTACTTCTGTCGTCTCGAGGATGCCTGGCGCACCGAGTACGGAGATGAGCTGGCTCCACCCAACTGGCTAGCGTTGCTAGGGAAGGGGGTTGATGTGTTTGCTCTTGACTTTGCCAAGCTCAATGCTGGAATCTATGCTATGTATGCTGGTGCTGCTAGTGTTGAGGGTGACTGTTAAGTCGTGTGTGTCGCGCGCTGCTGGTGTAGAGGCTGCTGCTCTAGGTGCTTGTGAGTCTGCTGCCGCAGGTACTGCTTCTGCTTAGGCTTTGCACACCTTCACACTTGACTCAGGCGCGTCTCGTTGTTTCTTTCGCGACTGCACCACAGTCACACCACTCACAGCACATGTCCCAAGCTCTCTGGCTGACCCCTCTGGGGGCAGTTGTTGCACGAGCATCCACTGTGCTCCCTTTTCTGGCAGTCCTCTCCGGTTCTCTGTCCGGTCTACACATCCCCTCGTTCTCTAAGAACTTGGTGAGTAACGCTGTCCTCCAGGACGAGTTGGTCAGTACCTTTACTCCTGGAGGTGAGCGTGTGGCGATCTGTTCGGACTCACGCACTGGCGAGCACCTCGCCACGTTCACCCGGAGCCCTGGGTCTAGCCTGTACACACTGACCACAAAGTCCGTGCAGGTGGCTGCGTCTGCACAGGTGGCTGCGTCGGGTCAGTTAGCTGCGTCTTGTTCGTGCCGGCTCCTCTCGCACCGGACTCTCCTCTGGCACCACCGTCTTGGTCACCCCTCCCTGCCGTGCTTGCGTGGCATGCACTCTCGTCTCCTTGTCTCTGGCCTCCCCATGTCCCTACCCCCGCTCCCGCGCTCACGTGCACCGCCGTGCATGCCCTGCGTCGAGGAGCGGCAGCGCGCCGCTCCTCACTCCTCCTCGTTTCCGCCGACCACTGCTCCTCTGCAGACTCTCCACATGGACGTGTGGGGCCCACCCCGCGTCCGTGGACAGGACCAGGAGCGCTACTTTTTGCTGATTGTTGACGACTACACGCGCTACTCCACGGTCTTCCCCTTGCGGAGCAAGGCGAATGTCCGAGGAGATTTGATCGACTGGATCATCGCTGTTCGTCGCGAGCTGAGCGCGCGGTTTGAGCAGGACCTCCAGGTCCTGCGACTGCACTCTGACAGAGGTGGTGAGTTTTCCTCCGGCCTCCTTCGGGACTTTTGTCGTGCGGAGGGCATCTGCCAGACGTTCACGCTTCCGGCCTCTCCACAGCAGAATGGGATTGCTGAGCGCCGCATTGGCTTGGTCATGGACGTTGCTCGCACCTCCATGATCCATGCGGCTGCTCCCCATTTTCTGTGGCCGTTTGCGGTGTCTCTGGCCCCGTGCCTCTGTGCCAGATACCTCGCTTACACTGCGTTGGACGGGGGAGGTTGGCGATGCGTCGGCATTTCAGGTCAGGGGCGCGCTCTCCCTTGTTCGCGATACCACCGCGAGCAAGCTCTCTCCTCGCACTCTCCGCTGCGTCTTCCTTGGCTTCCCCACCGACGCCCCGCCCTCGCAGTTTTACCACCCTGTCTCGCGCCGGGTTCTGTCTTCACAGGACGTCACCTTTGACGAGTCGGTCTGCTTCTACAGTCTCCACCCGCACACGTCTTCCCCTCTCTCCCCGCCGCCCCTCTTCCTAGTCCCAGGTCCCCCCCCGGTAGACCCCCTCCCCCCGCAGGGTCCTGCTCCCTCAGGTGTGTCTCAGGTCAACCCAGCCCCCTTGGTTGAGCCTTTGGAGGTCTCCTCTGACACCTCTGGCCCAGCTGAGGGGGGTGACCCCGCGGCTGACGACACGGCGACGACTCGCCGCTCCCTGCGCTTGGAGACCCCTCCTGGTTTTCTGTCTCGGCCGTCTTCGCCGCCTCCGCAGCATGTTGCTGTGGGCTCTGATGGTTCTAGGGGGTGCTGAGTCTGGGGGTGCCGGTTCTAAGGGTGCTGAGTCTGGGGGTGCTGGTTCTGGGGGTGCTAGAGGTGCTGGAGCTGGAGGTGCCGCTGGTTCTGGGGTTGCTAGAGCTGCTGGTGCTGTAGGTGCTGGAGCTGGAGGTTTTGCTGGTGCTGGAGGTGCTGGAGCTGCTGGTGCTGGAGGTGCTGGAGCTGCTGGTGCTGGAGGTGCTGGAGCTGCTGGTGCTGGAGGTGCTGGAGGTGCTGCTGGTGCTGGAGGTACTGGAGCTGCTGGTGCTGGAGGTGGTGCTGGTGCTGGAGGTGCTAGAGCTGCTGGTGCTGGAGGTGCTGCTGGTGCTGGAGGTGCTGGAGCTGCTGGTGCTGGAGGTGCTGGAGCTGCTGGAGCTGGTGGTGCTGGAGGTGCTGGAGTTGGAGGTGCTGGAGAAGCTTGAGCTGCTGGTGCTGGAGGTGCTGGAGGTGGAGGTGCTGGAGGTACTAGAGCTGGAGGTGCTAGAGCTACTAGAGCTGCTGCTGCTGCAGGTGCTGGAGCTGGAGGTGGTGCTGTTGTTGGAGGTGCTGCTGGTGCTGGAGGTGCTGGTGCTGGAGGTACTGGAGCTGCTGACGGTCCGGGTACTGTGCCGCGCCGACCGTTTTTCTACCTACAGCCGCAGTCGTCCCTGCCACCGCCTGACTCGGCCCTTCGCCAGGTTCTTAGTCTCCCGTCTTCCATCGGCCTCACTCCACCTCTCCTGTGTCCACTGACAGACCAGTCTCAGCCACAGCTACTGCCTGGCTCCCCGCTGCCTGCTCCTGCTCCTCACACTGAGGTGACAGAGTCCCTGACTGAGCGTCGTGAGCCTGAGACTCGTGCTTCCACACCTGTTCGTGCTCGTCGTGTCCCACGTCCTCGTCCTCCCGCTTTCCCAGGCACTCACGTTATGGAAGTTCGTCCTTCCTCTGTTCCGCAGCGTGTTCCCCTACCGTCTCCTACTGCGTCCTCTCTTCCTGGCGTCCGACCTTGCTCGTGCTGCCAGTCCTACTGTCACTCGTCTCCTTG